AAACAATGGATGACATTCAAAGCTATATGCTTGAGACACAAGATCCCATAACTCATGCTCCTTCCACACTTGAAGTGGTTGCCCCTCCTACTAATATTCCCCTTACACCCCTTCCTCCTACTCCCTCTCAATACAACCTAATCCCCTCAATTCCGTCCACCCCGATATCCATCCTCCGATATCCATCCCCTCTTACTCATAGCACCCCTACACCCCTTCCTCCTAATCCCTCCCAAGACAACACATCCCCTTCAACTCCAACTATCCATCCTTCGATATCCATCCTCTTACACTAATACCCCCCCACCACTTCCTCCTACTCCCTCCCAACACAACCCACCCCTTCAACCCCAACTATACGCACATTCTCCCTCCCTCCATCCCCTCTATCCTTTCCACTCCCTCCCGGATACACACAGGAATCACTCATGTCACAACAATGCCCTTCCCCAGATTCCCTACCTCCTAATACCCCTCCTTTACACCCCCTAGCTCCTTCCCCTTCAAATTCCCCAACACGTACTGTATACGTTATCACTCATAAATCAACTTAGATATAGCTCTCCTACATTGGAATATTCGCGGTTTCCGTTCTCATAGACCAGACCTATGTCATATCCTTGCTTCTTATAATTCATCTTCCTCTTTGTAACGTCCCTTTTTCAGTTCTACACATTCCCTTGTCCTGTCCACGCTTTAATACAGCACATACCTCTGCTTTTCCACACCTATCCTCCCTTCACCGACCTCCCAACATAGACATCCTTACAGAATCTGCCTTGACAGCCTGTTCTCCTTCCTCAGACGCATAGATATCCTTCACTTGATCTAACTCCCTTACCTAAACCTCCATAACCTTTTCCCCCATCTTCAACCTTTCAACACTACTCTAGATAGTTGGCACATCGCAACTATCACCTGACATCCCCGTTTACTATACCTTCCTATAGTGCTATATGACCTTAGATGTCTAGCACATTTATTTTAACCATTAACCATTTGCCACTCTAAATCCAGACACCCCAGTCTCAACTACAGCCCCAAAGTCATCCCCTCTCCCTCCCCGCACTACCCGCAGTAGACAGACTAAACGTTCTAACCCTTCTTCCCCTACAGCACAATCACCTCCACCTACCTTTACCTTTATTCCTGAGACACCAGTCTCCTCTTCCCCCCCTCATAAGAAAACCTTTGTTCCACAAAACTCTCCAACCAACTCCACTGCCAAAACTATGAACGACATTCAAAGCTAATGCTGAGACACAAGATCCCATAACTCATGCTTCTTCCACACTTGAAGTGATTGCCGATATTCATTCCCCTCCTACTCATATTTACCCTACACCCCTTCCTCCTACGCCCTCTCAACACAACCTAACCCCCTCAATTCCGTGCACCACCGATATCCACCCTCCCGATACCCATCCTAATATCGATCCCCCTCTTGCTCATAGCACCCCTACACCCCTTCCTCCTAATCCCTCCCAAGACAACACATCACCTTCAACTCCAACTATCCATCCTTCTGATATCCATCCTCCTACCACTAATACTCCCCCCACACCACTTCCTCCTACTCCCTCCCAACACAACCTACCCCCTTCACCCCCAACTTTACGCACATTCTCCCTCCCTCCATCCCCTCTATCCTTTCCACTCCCTCCCGGATACACACAGGAATCACTCATGGTTTCCGTTCTCACAGACCAGACCTATGTCATATCCTTGCTTCTTATAATCCATCAATTATCTGCCTCCAAGAGACTTTCCTCACACATCCTCCTATTCCAATTCCCAATTACCATTTTATCTCTTCCCGACACTCCCTTTATATCTCATCTATACGTATCCATCATAAAACACCTTAATATCCTTCACTTGATCTAACTCCCTTACCTAAACCACCATAACCCTTTCCCTCATCAACCCTTACCCAACTTCGACCTCCCAACATAGACATCCTTAGAGAATCTGCCTTGACAACCTGTTCTCCTTCCTCAGACGCATAAATATCCTTCACTTGATCTAACTCCCTTACCTAAACCACCATAACCTTTTCCCCCATCTTCAACCTTTCAACACTACTCTAGATAGTTGACACATAGCAACTATCACCTGACATCCCCCTTTACTATACGTTCCTATAGTGCTATATGACCTTAGATGTCTAGCACATTTATTTTGCTTTTAACCATTAACCAGTACACTCATATATGAATATGCAACTGACCATTACTCATTTTTGACTAATCCGTCCCAAAATCCATGACATGACACCCTTTTATCTAAACCCTATGGATATCTCAGATATTTGTTATTTATTTATTTATTATATTTTTTTTTATTATTTCAATCGCTTGAAAACTGTTTGAGTTATCTTTAAAAAAAAAATTAAGAGAAATGAAAATTGACCAAACAACAAAATTTCTTTTTAAAAAGTGCAAAAAAATTACACAGGCATTCTCTTTTTTCTTTTCTTTTCTTTTCCTTTCTTTATCTTTTACAGATTCATCCAATATCTAAGAATGTGTGACACTTTTTTCAATTTCGACTTTTTTTCTTGTGGGGAATATTTTACTTAGACAATTTTTAGGAATCCAAAATAGCAGGGGGGTGGGGAATCACACATTCCCTGGATATTTTATTTTTCTATGAAATGATCCATTATATGTTAATTTGGACTAAATTTGCATTTGTTAGAGCATTTGAAGCCAAAGTAAGTATACTTTCGAAATACTGGTGGTTGATTTTTTTTTTTTTTCCCCATCACTTTTTTTTGTGTGTGGACAATAATAGGTAGAAGAATATTCTTCTGAGAACAAAATCATGTCATCTATGTGTGTTCTGAAGTCTTGCAGAAATTCCCAGAGTATAATAAGGTTGTTCAAACATTGTAATGTGGTGGCAGGGTCCACTGACTTGGGCCTATTTTGAAGGTAGATTGACCATTTTAGAGTTAGGTCATAGTCTAACTAACATTCCATTAAATTATGGTGGTGATCTGGATCATTTGGCAAACCTACCCCCATTTTTGGGGTATGTTCAAACGTTTTGCTGAAGGATGAAACTGACAAAATATGATCCAAACATAAAACACTAAAATACGGCATATTCTTAATAATTTGTATACAAAAATTCTTTGTTATTATTTTTGGAACACTTCCCAGATTTTCTAGATTATTCCGAAAAAATTAACGTTGGTCTCATATTATGTAAAATTTTATAAGCTTTCTGAAAATAATCTTATTTTTTAATCATATATCCGTTCCATCACAATAAAATCATATTTTGATGGACATTGAAAATGGCTGCTACCATCTTAATAATTGTGGGAGGGACCTTTAAAATTTACAGGGGAGATTTGGAGGTGTTGAAACTCTTTGAAATGCATATAACTCAAAATCAGTAAAATGGATTGTTTTAGCATAAAAATTGGTAGACGATCCCCTAAATATGCCCTTTAAAATACCCCCCAATCCCCCATGGGATCTCCCAACATTGTTGGTTGGAGCTGGGTCCTGTTGTAAACCTTTACCTGATTTTTACTTATATTTGTTGTAAATTGATTCTCTTTAAGGCTGTTTTACCTCATAATTTCCCTGATATACCTCATGCGTTCTCTTGCTATCAGGACTATCAAATCAAGATTGTTGACTGTATCTGGTATTGCACCAATCAAAATCACTATATATTTATAGTACACATATTTCTTTTATAAAATAGTATTTTCAACAGAAAGTAAATGTGTTTGTCTTTGAAAGAATTACTGGCAAATGTATTGATCTGTAATTTATACTGAGGGAATGTTTAAATTCTATTTGTTCTATTGAAATTGTATACCCTATACATTTTGGGTCCCTTATCCTGGCTTGGCACTTAAGTTGGGTATATGGTTCTGATCTATTGTATAATGACCATGGGGGTCCAGTTTGTGGAGCCCCCTGGCTAGGGATTACATAAAGCTTGTTGTATGAATCCCTTGGGGGTACAAGGGGTTATCGATTAGGACATTTACAAAGACCACTGGTATTTTTGTTGATGCTTGGTATTTTTGTAGATTGTACTGAAAGATTGCTTGGATGTCCATAGATTTCTTTGTTGAAAGTTGGCACATCTGCCTGTAGATTGGGATTTGTGACAGCATGGGGATCCTTTATTCTTTGCCAAGTGATCGCAAGAAATATATTTTCTTGATTGTTCTGTTGATTTTGGACCATATTTAAACAATATAGTGACTTTAAAAGAAATAGTATTTGTTATAGTATGATATCTGAGCCTGTCAAGTCCCCAACTGTTGAAAGAAAATAAAGTTAGATACTAAACAAAGCAGACAGTTGATGGAACGCAAGATTTTTGGGTGTTTTTAAATGCTAAGGAATATGTATTTTAGAGAGAAAATTAAATGGGTAATACTTTACAGTATGGATGCAAATATGTCACAGAATTTATGTGGCATTCTAAATTGCCATGATTAGACATGCCCTTTGATCAGGTTGATAGAGGCTTCACCCCCTAATACACCATAGCAAACCTTGTCTTGACCTCGGAAACACTAAGTGGATTTAGCCTGTGAGTGGTGCTTTCCACACTCTTTTTCCTTTAATTGTGATTTTACTGTTTGTGTCAGTTGAATTTTTCTTGTACCAGCAAGTGCAACATTTTGCCCTCTATTAGAATATCATCTTCAGTTTGCCCCAGTTTAGTGCATCCAAACCATAAAGATCAGCCATTATATTTGTATAAGTAAAGGAAGTATTCTGTTGGTTATACACTATGGAAAATTCTACTTTGAGGCTGCTACCCTGGGGCCCAGAGGGCTCTGCCCCCTGGCTACGCAGTCAAGTTGGATATTGAAAGTATTTACAACAACTTAAAAGAAATTGATAATTTTATTGGTACTAACATTCTTTTGTTTTCCAGTTGTACTGATGTTAAAAGTTTGTTTTATTCTGTCTAATGATATTAGAACCTTGCTCTTTCTGAATTCCTTGCATTTGCAGAGCCAGCCAGAATGGTGGGGAGTGATATGCAGTTCTGCCTGCGGTGGAACAACTTTGGCACAACAATGACAGCAGCACTCCACTCCCTTCATGAAGGGGGGGATTTTGTTGATGTGACATTGGCAGCTGATGGTGTGCAGCTGAAAGCCCATAAACTTGTCCTCTCAGCATGTAGCCCATATTTTCGAGATATTTTAAAGGTGTGTATAAATTATGCAGTTGAGTAGCTATTGATGATTTGATTGTTGCCATTGTCAGCATTACTGCTGCTTATTAATTTCTATTGTTAACTATATGCTGACACCCATCTGGCTGGCACTTTTAAGAACTAACTTTATTAAATAGCATTATATAACTTTGTGTAACCTGTTTTGTTGCAGAATAATCCATGTCAGCACCCAGTGATCATCTTAAGGGATGTACCCATAGAAGATCTTGAAGCAGTATTAGCCTTCATGTATGAAGGTCAAGTTAATGTGTCTCAGACACGACTCCACACATTTATGAAACTTGCAGAGGCACTCCAGGTGCGCGGCTTGACAGACACACAGACAGCAAGAGCGCGCGTTGAAAAGGTTTTTATCTCTTAATTTATTTTTCTGAAGCAAGTAGGCCTAATTCATAACAGAAAAAAGTGAATATAGAGTTTAGATTCGCCTAGATTACCAATTCTAACTCATAGGATGATTACTAGATGATTGATTTAATTTTATCCTTACTATATATTTTTTTCACCCTCTTTTTTGCATTTGTTTTTATTTCCTATAATAGTAAGGCCATAGTTGAGAAACTTATTTTTGTGTGTGTGTGTGTGAAGTTACTCTTTGTTATCATAAGAAGAATGTAATACTTTGAAATTGATATAAAGTGTTGTCACTACACAACAAATTTGAGTCTCAGAAAAAAAAACTCTTCTGGGGCAGCCTACTGCAACATTCTGTCTCTCACATTTATGTATTCAGTCTCTCTGTGTCTCTCCCACACATTCATTCATTTATTTACTCACTATCTCATTTATTCATTCATCAGTTTTCTCATTTTCTCCCTTTTTTCATTCTCAAATTGACGGTCTTCCTCTGTAAACTTGTCCTGCTGCACCTCAGCCTCATATGCCATATCACTGTTATATCAGTAAAACAGATATCACTCAAGAAATTCAGCTGATACGAGAAAATATTGAGCCAGTTGTACTTCAGGCACAATGTAACATGTATCTAGACTAATACATTTCTTTTTCTTTGTCATGTTTCACTAAGATCCATATTCACAACCAAGCATTGTACATGAATTATTGAACTCTGTACAAGAAGATAAGTGAAACAAATAGATTGATGAACGATTGAAAGACTCAATTTTATCCAATTCAGCAGACACACTTGACAACTAATCAAAATATTAAAACTATACAAATCACTATCCTTTAATCTAAATAGCTTCAATAGGTGTTGAAAATATAATTTGCATGTATCTAGCCATGACTGTGAAAAAATTGCATGTCATAAATAGATATTTCCTATAGACTGATGGCATTACACCAGTCACAATATTGGAGGTCAGACTAGCCACAAATCAAATGAAACCAGGAAAAGGCAAAGTGATGGCGAAAAAGCACCTGGAGAAGATGTAGTTTATCCTGTAATGATCAAATCTGTTTGGCTTAAAACCTGGAAACAAGCCAAGATTCTTGTAATATATATATTTATATATTTACATATATATATACATTATATATATAATATATATATATATATATATATATATATATATATATATATATATACACATATATGTTTGTCTGTATATATGTGTGCATATGTTTATATGGATATGTATATATATATTATATATATATATATATATATATATATATATATATATATATATATATACATATACATATACATACATACATACATACATACATACATACATACATACATACATACATACATAACATACATACATACATACATACATACATAAACATACATACATACATACATATATATATATATATATATATATATATATATATCTATATATACACATATATATATATTTATATATAATATATATATATTATGTATATATATATTATATATATATATATTATATATATATATATTATATATATATATACATATATATTATATATATATATATATATATATATATATATATATATATATATATAATATATAATATTTAATATA